TGAAGCTGTTCAAGGAAAAGCAGAGGGCTAGGCCAGCTGACAGCACTGTGCATCCTGGCAGACTTTTATGGGCAATGCAAATAGGAAAACGTGCATCATGGTAGAGCAGCACAATGGCTGCAACCCAGCCAAAGAACAAGGAGAACATCTCCACACTTCCAAGCTTTTTACAGAATAAATCATGTTTCTAAGTGCACATCATCTTTTTGCTGTCAGCCTGATGGAAACACTAAAATCTAGCAATCAGCAAAAGAATTTGATGCTGGCAGTCTATTATATCCACAGTGATGACTAAGTCCTGCCACTGGTGCCCCAGTCTTCTTGCCCAAAGACAGCAGCACTAAGCCAAGAATGAGTTCTGGATCATATCATACTTTGCTGTCATGCTGCTCTCAATTTAAACATTCTGAACCTTGTGACTCCAAACAGAGCTGCACCCGTTTGCTCCTTTCACAAATGTCAGGCTAGTCTCTTGAACCAATTACCTTCTGCAAGGCAATGCTTAGGTCACTCAAAACAGCTTTTGGCTCTCTGGGATATGAATCTGATCCGGGGCTGCCAAAGTGTGTGGAAAATGAAATTCCAGCTCCTGCTGCCAGGAAGTTACAGGAAACTACCATCACACCGAAACATGTGCTGAAAATAGGAGTGATTGGTCCTGCAGCTGGGAGATGCTCTCTTCTCTCTGATAGCTCCTAAGAACTGGGTTTGAACTACCAAGTACAGACCTGCTAAAACCTCTGCAGCCTCTCCTTCCCCCTTCGTACAGCTCTGGGTCGTAGCTGTCCCACGAGGATCCTGTGGGCCCGATGCAAGTTTTGCTCCAGTTGTTGCTGCAGCGCTCCAGTGCCTCCAGCTGCCTTTTCACTGCCTCTGGGTTCTTGCAGTAATCACAGCATTTATTGCACGGTGGAGTGACATCACCAAAGTACCTCGCTATGGCAGCGTGACGACACCTAGGAGACAAAAGGAAAAAGGATCTGGAGATTATTTCCATTGAGGAACTCCACCCTTCAAATGCAACTTGTCATGTGATAAAGACTTGTGTTTTTTTTTTTAAAGAGAAGTCTATTCTAGCAGGAAACTGGGCTTCTGTGCCTGGTATTTTGCTTATGGATTCTGTGCCTTCACTTCCCCACATGTAAAACAAACAGTGGTGTCAATCTGTCCTGATAAATGCTGTCAGATCTTTGAGATCTACAAAAGGTGGAATGGATGGAATATGCAGTTCTTAATTCTGTATCATTGGCCAAATATCTTCCATCAGAAGATGACACAAATTTCAATCACAATGGCACAGGTTGCACAGAGAGGTGGTAGGTGACCCATCCTTGCAGACACCCAAAGTAAGGGCTGTGAGCACTGATGGAGCTGTGGGTGTCTCTGCTCATTGCAGGAGGTTGGATCAGATTACTTCTAAGGGTCCCTTCCAGCTCAAACCATTCTATGACTCTATGATCATTGGCCAGTCTGGGGAGAATCCTACTTGTATGTCCATGTGCTCACACATTGCACAACCAGCTCTATCAGCTTTAGCAAACTAGCCATGTGAAGACAATTAGATCCTTTTTCCTGCAATCTTCAAAGATTTCTGGCAGGCATTGGTGCTTTGGGACATGTAAAAAAAGTTCAGTAACAGATATACAGTCATTAGCAATATGGGCAGGAGGCCATTTCTCCTCTGGAACACTCCCTAATTTAAATGAGTGAAGATATTGTTTTTGCCAGAGGAAAAAGAATCAGGGCAGCCACTTGTTTTCAGAAAGCTGGAATAATTTAGAGGAGCTTTTCAGAAGTTGGGTTTCACAGCAGAGGTATCTTAATCTAAATCCCAGCATCAGACACACAGAAACAAAATCATGCATTTAGAGATAAGTCCTGCAGTCAAGCAGCAACATGAGAATTATTTTACTGCAAGGAAGATCAAAGTGGAGATTTTGCTCCTGTACCGAGGAGTGTCCCAGCTGGCTTACCAATTTTGTGTGCAAAAATTGAGTGACAGGGAGGAAAACCAAGAGAGCGTACACTTCATTTATTCTTATTAAAACCCTTTGAGAACAAGTCTGAACTAGCCAGCAATCTGACTAACAAACACAGCTTGTGAACTTGCGTGCATGCTTCTGGGCCAGCATAAGTGCATGTGGACATGGCACAAAGAAAGCCTGGAAGGGTCTGCAGTGGTGGCTGGCTCACTGCTCCCATCAGTTCCCCCGAGCTGGTGAGCTGGCCAAGCAGATGAGTGAGGAAAGCAGCAGCTCACAGTTGCCAAGCAGGGAAATGAGTGTATGCTGCTGCTGCTGCTCAGGTGAGGGCTGCAGCATGGTGACGTGCTGCAGGGGCTGGGGACTGAAAGCCCAGAAAGGGCTCCCACAAAGCTGCCTTTATATCAGTGGCACTGACTCACTGGTGCCTTGAGCACGAAGAAAGAGCTCCTTTCATATATTGGGGAGGGGTGGGGGGACTGGGACGGGGACGACTCATTTGATCCCCTTGTTCTCCTTTTCCAAAAGAACTGCTGGTGCAGCCTGTCCTGCTGTTACCAGACAAACTCCAGTTCAAATGAAACTCCTTAAGATCAACATGGCATTAAGAAGCATTCTTTATTACAGTGTCGGATGCACGGGGGATCTCTCCACCTAATGTGCACGCCTGGCACAAAAGATCTTCAGCTTATATGCATTATTTGTGTTACATATGTGAAGGTTTTCCTGGATAGCACATACATATTCAATACTTTTCCCTAAAGTTATTAACATAGAGTTCTGCCTCTTTGCACATACTCAGCCTTTTTGTGGAGGGGTCTCGGTGTGCCCTCTGGTTGAACTCTTTTTACACTAGTAGGGACAGAAGGTTCCTTTTTGTGTGATGCTTTGCTGATTGCAGCACCAACTACTGGTTCTTATCTTCAGACTGGCCTTGTGGAGGTGTGGGAAGGAACCTTCTGCTGCAACATCCCCTAGTTCTACTTTTCCTAAAGACCTGCTGCTGTAGACTGTCCTGACAGTGCTACGCCACTATAAAAGTATCAATGAGCTGTCAGTTTGCCCCCAAAAACCAGGAAGGTGTTCTTATTACTTCCCATCTCTCTCTCAAACACACATTGATCTGAATTAGAGTTAACTGAGGCATACAGGAGTGGTCAGGTCCCTCTCATTCCTACAGAACTCACCAGGCTTATGCTGGGGAGGGACATCCACGTGTACCCCTGTTTCTTAAAGCAAAAGGAGAGACCCTGCAAAGAAAGCCTTTGGAGAAGCAGAGATCAACTCTGATGTCACTGGAATTTAGAGAGGTTCAAGGTCCTTTAGGAGGGTCTGTCATGATAGGACAAGGGGAAATGGTTTCAAACTAAAAGAGGAAAGATTTGGATTGGATATAAGGAAGAAGTTTTTACACCATGGGCAGTGAGGCAGTGGCACAGGTTGCCCATGGAGGCGGTGGTGCCCCATCCCTGCAGACAGCCGAGGTCAGGGGATGGGCTGTGAGCACTGATGGAGCTGTGGGTGTCCCTGCTCAGTGCTGGGGTGGCACCAGATGGCCTTTAGGGTCCCTTTCAACTCAAATGATTCTATGATTCTAATTTCCTAGACTGCCAGCCTTGTAAAGTCAGGCCCAGCTTGCAGTAACTGCCTCCTTTATGCATAACCACCCAAATCAGGGTCACAGCCTCACCTGACCCAATGATAGCCATGAGTTGAATCATTGAAATTCAGTTGCAGAATGAAATTGCAGTCCCAGAAGTGGAGTCAACAGGCCAAAAAGAGGTACCAATATGGATGCTGGGGGAACCACTGGGTTAATGGGTAACTGAATACAAGGTCCTGAAATAGTTGGCTACACATTGCCATGGTGGGGAAACTTCCCACATTACATGAGCACCTGAAAAATGCCCAGGAGATGGAGAGCTATTTACATCAGTTAATGGTGGCTTGCATTATTACACATGTCCTGAAATGATTGAGTCTTTCCAATACACACTGCATTGTTTCCTCCCCTGCTCTTCAACAGGACTAAATATGAGCTGACCACTGGTCTCCGAAATGTACAATCAGTATTTTATTTCAGACATCCTACCCAGGTTTTATGTCATGGTATAGGATGAAGAGCAAATAACAACCAAGTTTATTCATGTATTTTTGTCAGTGGCAATATGTGTCAGAAGAGTGCTACCCCAGCTCTATGGATGCCCTATACCATGCCTCCTTTTTGTACTCTTTGCTTTGGTAGATCAGGTAAAACAGTACAGTTGTTGCTACCATTAGTAGAAATGGGTGAGCTGTCCAAGAAGACACAAAGTCACATATCCAAGAAGAAGCTTTGCTGTTGTCAGAATGCACCAGGAAAAAAGCATTCCCTTGTAGGAGCCAAAGGTACACAGTCCCATTGAGAGCTCCCCAGAAATACAGAAAATCTTGAAATGAACCCAAGAAATGAGAGCAATACGAAACATACAAAAATCACATAAGGACAAATTATTTACACAGATGCCAGTTGCTGAACAATTCAATGTGCTCTACCAAATTCACTGCAGGGGAGGTAGACCAAACAACCTTTAAGGGTCCCTTCCAACACCAGTGATACTATGATTCTGTGAAAAAGAAGGACAAACGGTGTGGCTGATGGAGTATTACTGTTTTGCACCTATCTGAAAGGCTGTGCCTCTGTAGCAGCAGCTGAACTTCAGCAATCTGGAGCCAAGGCAGTGGGCATCAGCTGTCCCCAGCCCACCAGAAGCAAATGCCCAATGCATTGGGAAAGTGAATGAATTGGCCAAGGGCATGAAGCACCCCAAGCACTAGCCCCGCTCCCAACAGCAGCACGTTGTGCTGCACTGTCACTGCAACTCTGCAGTCAGAAAAGCTCCTTCCCCTGGGACTGGGAAGGAAACTGAGCAGCGCAGAGCGAAGTTAATTGCTTTAACACACCCCCAAACTTGTGCAAGGTGAGCATCGGCTCCAGCCCCGCTCCAGAAAACTTCACAATAAAAAGAGAGAAGAGAAAACCTTACTTGGAGGGAATGTGGAGAAGTGAACACTGGAGGCGGGGGCTGCAGGGAGGGCTCCCCACGGCCGCCCGCCCTGGCACACACGTAACCCAAAACTGTGCTGCTCCGCGACAGCCGGCGGCACACGGAGGCAGAGACAACAGCTGGCTGTCAGTGCTGAGCGAGCAGAGCCAGCGCCGAGCCGGGATGAGGGGAGGGATGACGTGAAAGTTTCAGAAGGCAGAAGGAAAACAAGAGGAGGAGAGCTCGTGGCACGGCTGGGGTAAGGCTATTGCTGGTGTTCGGTCAAGCATAGCACCTTCGCATTCAGCTGGTTAGCAAGTAGCTGGAGCTGGTGGGGCTCTTTAGGGTGAGCTGCAAAACCAGCCTGTGAGCAGAGCTCGCTGGTTTAAGTTTGTTTGCAAGGGACATTCAGTTGCAAAGGTGGTAAGGGGAAAGCTTATAGTAGGATTCCAGAAAGCTGTGCTGCAGCCGGACTGCTAACAAAAGGATTCAGCCTGCAGCCTTGCATTGCTCCTACAGTCAGATCAGGGTAAGCGACTTTTTTGTTGATTAGAAAGGCTGTGCGCTCGGTTTTCTGTTGCTGCTATGGAATGTGACCTTAGCTGATAAGCAGGTCTACTGCAGGGCATTCTCTGCAGGGCTGATTCGATGCCTTAGGACTCTGTTTGGGTGAGGGAGCTGCTCTGCTTCTCTGTGTATGTGCCATTGGGGAGCAGCTGCCAGCACAGGGAGCACACGTCAAACCAGGGGGTACAGCCACAGCGTGGCTCCAGAGCTTCTCCCAGCTGCATCCAAGTTTTATCTCCCAAATCCTGAAGCAAACAGAAAGCTTAGAAAACAAACCCTGCTTGGGAAACTTAGCATACTGTGCAAGCAAAGCATCTGTGTCCAATAGCAATAAATGGAAAGATTTTACACAGCTTCTAACAAGAGAATTCAGAAAAAAGAAGAAACTCAAAGCAGTGTGTATCCAACACAGCTGGTGGTTTACAATCAAACCAGCATGGGAAGCCACTGCTCTGAGCGGACACAAACACAACATACATGGTATATGGTTTATAGCAACTGTACCGTCAGGTCCAAATGCAGTGAGAAACGAAGCAGAAAGAAACCACTGTGAGCTGTGGTTGTACAGAGGGGTGTCCCATAACCTGCACTGCCACCTGGCTGCTGCTGGGCAGGAGGAGGGGGCTGGCAGGAGGCTGAGCAGAGAAACCCCATTTTGAGCCACGTGAAACTGATTGCTGTGCTTGGAAGACCTGAGCTGAGCCTCTTCCAGCGGGTGCTGGGGCAGCCAGCTGTGTACCAACAGGCACAGCGGCAGAACGCCAGGAAGATGCCTTTCCCATTTCACACGTGCCTGTATGGAGGAATGTTAAGGAGCAGGTATTTCCACTTCTCTCCTTCCCATTAGGGTGAAGGGAGGGCAGGTTGTGTACAGAGACACGGAACTGGAGCTGCCTGCGTGAGAAGACCCAGTGGTTAGGAGCCACACGCCTCCAGCTTAGCCCGAGGTTCAAAGGGGATGGAGGCAAGTTTCCATCCCGCTAATGAAGGGTCTCTTGTTTGTTGCAGCTGAGATGGTTTCACAGCAGGAGAAAAACAAAGTTTGGGGGGGGGGGGAAGGAAGGGGGAGGAGCAAGGGGAGATGGGCAGTGGGAGGGAAGGAGGGAAGCAGGCCAAGTTCTCCTCGTGAAAGGGAACCTTAACGGGTTTGGCTGGGGGCTCGTCCAGCACAGCAGTGTGTACATGTGGGAGGGGGGAGCAATATGAAACACATGTCTGGATAAAGGCAGCGGGACATGGCTTGTGTTACAGCTGTCACAGCACACGGCCTCTCACCCTGTGTGAAATATGCAAAAGCAGTTCTGGAGGTACAGAACAGAGCAATTTGAGTGAGCAGATCCCGGCTGCAGCAGCAGCTCTCTGGCACAGCCTGCCCACACAGCAAGCAGCCACACCGGGACCGGACAAGCAGATTTCCCAAAGCTCAACAATGTGTGCTATTGTTTGGGAGCAGAGCAGGGTGGCTGACAGCAGGTTGGAAAGGGATTTCCATTGCCAGAGCCATACCTCAAACACTGAACTGCTGATAGATCTCAGTACATTTCTGAAGTGGCATTCATAGCCATCCAGTCACCTCTGCCCTAGGAAATTGTTGTTTTGCTAATATTAGATGAGACTTTCAGGTTAGAATCAAGCACGAGCAAGCCTTCGGCCTATAAAAAGTTCTCTTGTTTTATTTTTAAAATTGACCTTTTCCATTCACTGGATGGCTCTGTGCCTTCGTTTCCCCACTTCTTAAAAATGGGACTGGCAGTGAGGAGCTGGGGTGATGGGGATTTGTTTGTGGACTGGAGTAAACCACAGTGCTTCACAGAGCCAGCAGTGCCCTAATGGGCACCTCACCTCCTCCAACTGCTATTGCAAGGAACTCAGAGCCTTTTTATATTAGTCTAATATTAGGTTGGAGGGGAGGAAAGCAACATTTACGCTGCTGCCTCAAAACCAGTCTCCAAATAGTGGGTGGTGGAGATGACAGGGTGTCCCAGCCAAATGGCTACTCAGGCAGGGCTGCTTTCTGATCTGAAGGAATGTGTGGCCTTCTTTTCCTGACCAACTGACAAAGTTAAAGCTTTTCTCCCATGACATGGAGCTGTACTTTACCAGTTTGGGTGTGTGCCGTTAAAAAGCTGAATTCTCTCGATACTGGAAACTATTTTCATCTGTTTGGGAATGAATTATAGGTCTGTCTGGCTCTGTTCACTCCTGTTTTAGGAAAAAAAAGGGCTTGCCTGTGAACCAGAGCTAAGATTCACATGGCTGGTCAACTACAGCACTGCACTAACAATGATGAGAGAAAATCATGCACTAATAATAATGCTGCATTTCTATAACCCTTTTCATCTCAGAAGTACATTACATACTTAGAACAATAAACAATCAGACAAGAATCATTACATGTGCTGCCAAAATGCATCTAAACTATAACAGCACCAAGCAGACCAAGCCTGTTTTAGGACAGGAAGTCTGCAGACCTTATCCACATGAAATCAAAAGCATGTTTCAGGAACCAAGAACAAAGATGGTGGGGTTAGGAACTTACCAAGCCTTTATGTTCTTAAGAAAGTGGCTAAGTACAGTCAGAAATCATTTTAAAGCAGAAAAAAAACAGAAAGCATCTCTCCTCCAGCTGCACAGCACCCTCTGCTCCACTGAGAAGCTGGGACTGCCTTCTAGGATTTCCTACCAAATAAGCTACCACAGCCCACAAAGGCTTCCCATTCTTACACTCATCCGATTTCAGCCAGCTTATTGGACTTGTCCAAGAACAACACAAAGTATTTGCTTCTTCACAGCCAGAGCCTTGGAAAAATGACAACTTTACATGAAGGATGTTACCCTGGCATTCTGCTTGCTTGGGCACATCAGGGAGGTGCTACTTCATAAGATCTGAGATGGTCAGTGAGTACTGTGGGGAGGATATTGAACTCTCCTTCACAGGTCTTGCTGCATTACTGCTCCAGGCATTGGAGGCTTCAGGGCACCACCACCACAGCTGAAGCCTCCATGGCTTCTTCTTCAGTTTTGGATGACTGTAGTAACAGACTCATACAAGCAAAGCTTTTCTGAGAGCACAGTAAAACCAATGGACTGGAAAGTCATGCCAAGAGAAATAAACCCTACGAAGCAGGACTGGCAAGGAGCAGCTACGGAGCCATGCTCTCATCTGCTCTCACCCTGACTCAGTGACTGCAAGGCAGATTGCAAGCAAAGGTAATTCCTCGTGTAGCTACAACAAAACTAGGGTCTTACCATCTACATATTTCAGAACATTTTTGGAGACATGGACACACAAAAACCAGCAAATCCAACTCCTGATAGTGGTTACATGCTCTGCAGCTTCACAGAAATGAAGTTGTGCAACAGAGGCATGGGATGGGATGACTTACCCAAAGTCACACAACCAGTAAGCATTCACGGCAGGTCCGGAAGAGTGCCTGCATTTACTGACTTCCAGTCCTGGGGCTAAACCACAAACTGAAATTTATGTTCTTTGTGCTGAAATAGGCTGCTCAATGCCACCACAGTTACGAGCAAAAAGGTGCCTCACTTCTCTGCAGTAGATTTAAGCTCACACAATTCCTACAGTTTTGTAAAGCTCTTTTTCTTGTTTGAAGCCTGGAAGCTACCACACACAGCCAGTTCACAACACCAAACCTGACCAAAGCTTTTGTCTTAAATGCCTCCAGATTGAGGCTTTTTAATGGCTTAATCTCAGAAAAGCAGAGCAACCAACTTCTGTGAGTGCTTCAATACAGTTTAAGTCCATTAAAATAGCTCAGAAAGATAATCTCAGGCTATTAGGGCAATTTTTGCAGCTTTGTTCAGTAAGCTCAGTAAGATGAATCTGCATTAAAAACAAATATCAGCATTTTCTGGGAATCTAACTCCACAGGTGCCCGAAGCATAGAACATGTTGCCTTGGTGTTAAATGCTCATCTGATCCTTGCAGACACCTGCAGACATCAGGCATCCTCCTGCATTAGTATTGTGCTCCCTCTGTTCAACCAAAGCTAACAATTCAAGGCACATGGCAAGTTCTGGCTCTGTTATTTTTCCCCCCAAATCCAAACCCAAACCCAAAGATTTGTTTTATTCCTTCCTCTACCAGGCCCTGCAACACAGAGGAGGGCAGGGAAGCTGGATGACCTAGTCCCACTGTCAACACTGGGTAGATGAGCTATTTTTTAATGAACAGCCAGAAGAGGAAACAGCTGAAACCACGAATTTCAGGCTGCCACAACGCTGCAGCACCAACTTCCAAACTGCCAGTCACAAGGCATCAGCGCTGTGTTCACTTCCTTTTCTATGCAAATTTGTCATCCAACTCCCTGTTTTCACTTTGTATCATCTACAGCTACTGTTATGGCAGAAAAAGTTCATGACAGTTGTCTGATGAGGCTCTACAGACTGCGTTGCTCCCTGGACACTCAGCATTTCTTCCATAGCATGCTCCATTGGCTTTGCTGCCAATGTGCTCCCTCTGCTTTGGAGGGCTCCCATCCCCACTGGATGCATTTCTAAGGAACAGCAATGAGCAAAGAGAGATTTCCAATTGAGATAAAAAATTTGCAGACTCAGGCTTGCTCCAAGCCCCACAGAATCAATGTCATAGGACGGCAGTTCAGGCTTAGAAAGTAAACTATTAAGACTTACAACCTTAGATTTCAAATTTCTCAAGACCTGCCCATTTCAATAATCACTACAGTTACTGCTTCAATCAAATCTGTACTACCTGGTCTTTGCAGCTGTTGGCAATTGAGCTTACTAGAACACAGAAACATGAAAAAAAAGGAATTAATTCTTACAGTTCCCTCTGAAATCTGTAAGTAGTGTCATCACTGCTGTGTTGTAGATGAGGGGGACAAGGCAGATGCATGGGACAGTTTATCACACAACCAGCACTACCCTCATGCTAAGCTTTAGGGTAAAAGTGTGTGTGCTGAAATGAGTTGAAAAAAACATTTCTACCAAAGCTAAAGCTGACTGAAATCTTTACATGCAGGAGAATGGAAGATACAAAAATCCATGAATATAACTAGCCTTTTTCATGAGTTTTAGTATTATTTTACTTCTTTTTTTTCTGAGAAATAAATTACCCCTTTGCTACACTTCACAAGTAGAAATCCCAAAGCTGTGAGAGCCCCTGGAACCAACGCGCAGTCACAAGTTCAGGAGTGCAGTCGAGTGGAAAAACATTTGCTTCCTCGTGGAGACTGTGCCACTGATTTAAAACTTTGTCCCTGAAGAAGTTCAAACCAAACACGCAACATTCCTTGCAAGTTTTAGAACAAGAAGTCCTTCACGTAGCTCCAGATCAGGTACCACCAGCGAAGGGATGCCCCAGAGTGGGATGAGAAAGAAGTCCCTATCATTTTAGTGCAGATGCTCTGTTATTCCAGGTGGAGTTCTAGGGTGCTAATGACCAATTTTATGCTGTATAACCATTGTATACCCAAACTTCAGAAGCCCAGATCTCATACTTACTACTCCTGTGGCAGCCCAAAGCACCATACCAAAGGTTACAGCACACTCCTTACTAGGAGAGCTTCTGGGCAGGCAGGAACAGCCCCAAAGGGAGCAAACAATTTAGTATGTTAGAGCCAGGAATAATGGTCTTTTTACATTTATTTATTCTAAAGTTTTTCTTCTAGAGCCAAGAGCAGAAAACACAAATCACCTCTGCCCACACTGCCATCTCTTGGAATGGAAGCAAAACTGGAAACTTGCTGACAGAATCTCTCAGTGTTGCGTGAAGGGAAAAGGAACCACTTCTGGAGCAGCTCACTTGGGGTACGGCAATGATCCAAAATGAGCTATTTAGCTCTACACCCAATCGTGACCTTCCAGGTCAGAAGTCCATAGTAATGCCTCCCTCTGCTAAGCTTTGCAGAGATCTTTCTGTAGATATAGATTTTTCATCCACCCCCAAACCCTGGAAACCAGCTGGTTCCGATTTTTATTCCCTAGCTTGGATTTAAAAGAACAAAGAAAACCCTCTCTGGATTGCGTAAACACACAAAATGTAATTTTATTTGGCACTGAAGTATTTAAACCCAGCATGCAAAGAAACAGCCACGGTCTCTCTGTCCTCAGTGTTTAAAAAATCTGAACTCCGAGGATCCATTTGTTTGAGTAACCAAACCAGATGTGCAGCAGTGAACTAGCTGCCTTATTCTGCAAGTACTGTCCTGGTCTTTTGACTCTGGTGTATCAACAAGACTAGGAAATTAAATTGCAACTTACAAGTGCCATAAAACAGTGTTGACTATTACAATGCACATGAGTTAGTATATTTTTGATATAAGAGCCATAATCAATCTGCAAGTCCCAACACTTGTATCAGGCAAACTCTCAGCTATTCCAGCACTTAAAGGAAAATTTTTACCTTCCACAGCTCTCCTGCAAGCTTGTTTGTTTTAATACCTCCCAAAATTTTGCTCAGGGGGAAAAGAACAGCAAATATTGGTGGTGAAGCTGAGGCTTCTAAGATAGCTACAGCTTACAGGACATCCACTGTTCAATTTATATACTGCTCCACTAGAACAGACTGTGGCTTAAAAATTAAAATAGAACTAAGGGCTGCATTTAACTTACCATACCAAACTTGCAGTCATCTGGAATAACTTAAAAAGCATCCAGCTCTCCCCAGTGAACGTGGGCTTTAGCTCTTCATATCAACCAGTTTTACTGAACAGTGACAAAACATCATGAATGATGCTGTTGTACAGTGCTAAACACCTTCATTTTTGAAGGGGCTTTCTACAGCTGGAGTGCAGGAAGACTTCTAAGGGATCTACTGTGTGTTCCTCATAGCACACAGCTGAAAACTACTTACTACAGGAGTACAGCATCGCAAGTTACCTTGCAATGCATTGCTTTCTGAAAAGACAAGTCAGCATAATTACAAAACAAACCTTATTTTCATTGGGTGGAAGGCAAGAGCAGCCATTGAATAACTCTGTGCCTGCTGAAGTAAGTGTCCTTTTACAAGAAACACCATTTCACCTTTGCACAACAGCGTAACTGTCAGAAGCTCCCTCAAAGCCAGAATCTGAAATGAGAACAGTGCCAGAATGCGCAGATAGTTAAATAGTCCTCCACCTTAGCTACTGGGAATGAGGACTGAGACCAGATAAACTTGTTTTACTTGTGATCAACACCCCTATAAGAAGGCTGGCAGCTTCCTAGCATTAGTCAGTGAAAAGGTTTATTTCTATTTGTTTTCTTCCTACAGCACAAAGGCTGGAGAGGGTTGAGCCAGAATGTCTTCTGAAGTCTTTCTGAAAGAAATGCAAACCATTGGTGAGAAACTTCTCCTTAAGCTCCAGAAACTGCCCAAGGCTGACCCTGTGGAGATCGTGTCCTTCTGTGTGGTGCTCCTGTTTATTGGTAAGTTTAGTGGCAGAGGTGGAGGGGGGTCAGAGTGTCTCTTCTATGGGAACAGCTCGCTCTGCCGTCTTTGTTGATGGATCAAAACTGTTGGCAGTTGTTTTCCAGTCTGCTTTCTGAGGCTCTATTTAATTTCTAGGTCATTTTTTAGTATTCTGCATGTACCTCTACACACATGCAGTGTATCACAGGCAACAGTATAACTTTCCTCAAGGCTCCTCTAATTTAACATTAGTTTAAAAAGTGATATTTTAACAAACTCAGAGTTGCTGCAATGTTTTGATGCATGGGAGATAGCTTATGACAGATGGTATCAGGGGACCTCACTGTCATGAAAAATACACAAATCTGAGACCCTAAGTGTCATTGCTGTGCTTAGTTCAGTGGAAGCCAGTATGTTGCAGATGAGCCTATTTATTCTTCTCACTTAATGGCAAAATCTCTCCTGATGCTCTGTGTGGGGATGGCATGCAAGGAACAAGTAAGACTGTGTGTGGGAGACAAAATTTGTTTAAACAATGGGAAAACAAGCAGCAAGGAAGGCAGGCCCACCTCCTCGGAGTACAGCTCTCTCCCAGCCTCAGTGCTGGAAGGAAGGGTGTGTGTGCAGCCTGGACACTCCTCCCTGGGCTGGAATTCAGAAACAGACACACCTGCTGATTTATTTTTTTTTTGTTCATAGTGCCAGCTGATTCCCCACAGCTCAGAACATCTGGCAGCCCTTCTTCAGACTTTTAAAGAATGCAGGCATGCACATGCTCCTTATGAGTTTTGCAGGATTACACATGACATCCTTTTCTACTGTGGATAACCTAAACTATCCCTTCCAACCCTGACCATCAGTGTAGAATAACAATATGCTAATACACTAATGTAGAGTTATTCTACACTACATCCTGGTGTAGAATAACAATAGGGTAGCATACTGCTTTGTGAAACAAAACCCTGTGTTTGAAGTATTTATTTCCTCAAGCTTAATACAGAAGAAAGAGTAAAGCCAATCCAATCACAAATATCTATTCTTCTCCAAAGGTAAATATCATTAATCTTCAGAAACGGAACTGACAGTTTGATTAGCCAAACCCTCTCTAGTTGCTTCTGACATAACCATGGGGAGTATTTGATTTCTGTCCTTTCCAGTGCATAGCTCTGCTTAGTTGTTGCATGTCATCTCTGAAACAACAGCCCATAAGGCAGGTAAAGCTATCACAGAATTACAGAATTATTTGACTTGGATGGAACAAACTCCCCTGCAATGAACAGGGACATCTACAGCTCCATTGGGGTTCTCAGAGCTTGGTCCAGCCTGAGCTTGAATATCCTCAGGGATAGGGCATCCACCACAAAGCTTTGCTCCTGCATGGTTTGGTATGCAGCTTTTAAGAGCACAATATACCCAGTAATGACAGTAGTTTTGTGAGTGCAGTGGATGAGCTCTAGAGCCACAGTCTAGAAAGCTATCTTTCAGACTGATGGTGATGTACAAATAAGTACATTCTATATTTTTACTGTTATTGTCTTGCCTACCAAAAAATACAAGCAATTAGGGTAAATAAAGGGGAAAACCCCAATTCAGTGCTAACACTGTGGGTAAGTTAATGTACCTAGCTCCTTTAACCTTATGAACAGCCAGCTAGCCAGTCAGCACAGTTATTGACAAGCCAACCAGAACACCTGTAGCTCCTACTAAGGCCTGACATGCACTGACATTTGCACAGATTAAGTGGATGACTAATACAAGAGAGCAGGTACTTACAAGGAAGGAGTTGGGAATATAAGGTAAAAATCATCAAGAAACTTGACTCTGTTCATCCTGCTGTACAGACAGCCTACAGGAGATATGGGATTAGTCTCCAGTGATTCCCCCTATGTCATGAAGTAATACCCTTTTTCCTTCTTTTTCCAGTTACTGTTCTCGTGCTGATGATCATTGCTTGCAGTTGCTGCTGTTATAGCTGCTGTAGCTGCAATGAGGGTCCTGACCACAGACGTAGGAAGGCCCAAGTCCTCCCGACTGCCCATCCATGAAGTGCATCAAGAAATGACATAACCCATTATCAAGGACATGCATGGACATCATGATTCAGTCCCATGGGAATGACTCTCTGCACTAATGCACTGGAAATGGCAATAACAATATTAATGATTATGACTCAGAGGACCAGAAATCACAGCATGAAATTCATTCTTTCTGTGACAGCTACTGCTGGGCTCCATGGTATGAGCAGAAAGGTAACACAACTTTACCATAACTGTCTCCATGTTTGGGGTGGGCTGGGAGTGCATAGAAACCAGCTTTTGATAAAACAGACACACTTACTCAATAACAGTCCCGCAGTTAGGCTAGCCAAGGGTTCCATTTGTGAGCATCAAGCCACACACCAAAGCAGAGAATGTGCAAATTGCCACGTGGATAGGGGGCACCTACTCTCTTCACAAGTGGCTAATCCAGAAGGATGATACTGGGTGCTAGCAAAACCACTGACATCGCTGGGATGTTGACATGCTCAGTATATCTTGGATCAAGCCCAAACCTGCTCTCTCAAATGCCATGTGCAATAGACACCTTTAGCTGAGATGACTGCTGAAAACAGATTGTCAACCTGATGTAAATATGCCACCTGAGACTCTGTGTACAGCTCCCTGACTACAAATACTCAATGCCTTCTTTTGTGTCACAATGATGTGAAACTGTCAAAAAGAAAAAAAACAGATTACATGCAACTCTCTTTGTAAAGAGAGAGATGAAGGCATTCAAGAAAAATTCACTGATGTTACAGTTTAATTTGATAAACATGCTTATTCCCATCTTCCATGTGGTAGTTAGATCTTTCATGAATTCTGCTCCTCTGCATATTGCAGGTGAGTGGTCCCTAGAGCATGGGAATTACAGGAGACAAACAAACCCTCATCCTTACTTGAGGGACCTTTGTGCCTGACTCTGTGCACCATGTGCAGCTTATTTCAGTGGACATAAACGATATGCCAAAGGTATGTTTATTAGCATACACAAAGGCATTTCAAAGGAGTGACACGCAGTATGGTAATTGTCACTTCAGGGTATACATGCAGCAGCTGACAGCTGGCACTGTGACAAAGCACAGCCAAGAATGGCCTGTACAGCTGAAGTTACCAAGTGAAAATAAATCCCTGTTCCATGTTGCAACCACTGTATATGTTTGGTTTACACTGCGGTGAACTTTAAGGAATTTCTCTAAGTACAAAGCTATGGTGCAGACAAGGACTTTCATAACTGGGACAGCCAAATGGAAGATCATCATATTGCATCCAACTCTGCAAGCCACTGGGCTTTCTTTCAGCCCAGAGTGTGAGAAAAGTCACTTTACAAGAAGGTATAAAAAGATGAGTACTCATAGATAAGTCATCTTCTACCCCTTGTATTCCACATTCTAAGTGCAGAGGAGTCAAGGGGATGACACATATGTATACTACAACCAAGTCCATCAAGAGAGAAAAGAATCAAGTTTTTAACAGTGGGATTTTAAGTGTTTTCATGCTTCAGAAGTGACAACAAAAAAGAAAGTTTGTAAAGAGATCTCTTCTCTCTGATGTCTGTGTCCAAATTACTAGAATGCACATTACATCTGCAGCTTCTCATGTACTTAATGCACTTTAAAAAAAAAAATAAACTAGATGTAGGTATTTTGCATTTTTTCCACTTGCATATTGGAATAAATCCACCCCCACCAACACAGAGAATAGTCTAAAATTTATGACAAAGTTCCTCAAACTACCAATGTTACTTGAAAATTAATTAAAAACAAAACAAAAACAGCATTTAAAATTAACCAAAGCCATCAACCATCCAGGATAAAATGGGGACACTCCCTAGAAATTAAACCTCTGAGCCCCAATTTGATCACTGCAATAAAATGAGGACTGTACCAGTATAAGCTGCTACATGCATAACCACATTAAGGCCAACAAATTGCTGGCCTTTATTATGCTATCCCAAAGCTTCCACTTACAACAAATATGCTAGGGTAGGGTAAGCTCAAGCACGGCATCAATTTTCTGCAATCAACGTGCCAAGGTGCATCTCATTAACCTCTCTGTCAGATGTTTTTGCTCATTTTATTTACAAACAAGTGACAACCAAGGTGACACAGAAGTCTCAGAACCTCTCTTCTGCAGGAGACAGGCTCAACAGACATTTCAGTTTCTAAGTTAAATCATGAGACCTGTGAAAGAACAGAGCTTACTTTCTTTCCTAGCCTGTGCTAGACAGTGCCAGCTACAGCAGTTAACAGAATCCCATTGAGAAATGTTTCAGCAGCATGGAACCAGGCTGTACTAACAGTTAGGAGGAAGCTCAGCAGGCTGGAAACACACCAACAGCTCTGACAGGTGGCTGTCAATGGGAACGAGCTGCCAGGCGTTATTGCAAAAGGAAAACCACAGATACATTTCCCAGTTGTGTTACAACCTAAACCACTGACAGATACAAGGCAGGGGATAGGGGAAACGGCTCCTTTCTTATTTCTCCCACTGTAAGTTCATGAATTAGAAGCAGAGAATAGCCACAGTGCTGTTAGGGAGGGGGAAAAAAAAAAGAAAGAGAAAGATAAAAGGAAAGAAAATTAAGCAACTTTGTAGAGACTGCATCTGGCTTCTGGAGAAGCCACCAAGGAGAAAAGGGGCTGTGGACCAACTTCTGCACACTTGCCTGTACCTGATGTTTTTTTGTTGTTTTGTTTCATCCTTTATTCACATAAAGGGATCTGGAATGCTCTGAGCCCTAGTGAGCATGGATCCTCTGTTTCAAAAGGCACAGAGGAAGGCAGACTACTGAAAAACTGTTTCAAACACAGCAGTTTGAGTTTGCCTGGAAGAAACTGCAAGGGGAAACAGCTACTTCAGTCCTGATGATAGAAGTGTTGAAATAGCACCTTCCCCTGAGAAACACAAAGCAGATCACAGCCTCTTCAGGAGAAGCAGCTGAAGCTTCACTGACCACTTAACGGAAAGGCTTATATTCTGTAATGTCACCTGTTAGACTTCAAAGAGACTTACTTGGCTTGTGAAAAACAAATTTACTCATATCCTCTTTCTCCTCTCTCACTTCTCTTCAGCACTTTCCCTTTTTTATTCCTCAGTTAAGAAAGCAATAGGGAAAGTCTATATTGCAGCTAACAGCAGTACAAGGTTCTAATGACTTCAACCACCTAATCTGTCATGATGATGTTTGGCCTAGAGGATAGAGTTGTTTCAGAGTTCACTTTACACACAGCAGCCTCCTAACAGAACCTGTAATACAGATACACTCAAGATCCAAAAAATAACTTTGTCTTCTCCCCACTGGAATCTTCCTAAGATAGAGAACACAAAAGACCTCTAAAAACACTCAAATAGGTGTATGAGTGAATAAAGGCGTGGAGAGGAAGAAATTAATGACATGTGAACTGAGTCCTTCTAGCTCAGTTCAAGGCCTTTGACTAGATTAGCCACACCTTTGCAGGATAGCCAGCTGTTAAACATTTACTGCAGTACAAATAGGTAATTTCCATGCTAATTCTACAGCTGTCCAGGTGTAGCAAAAGGATCTTTTCAAGCAGGTGAAGAAGAGGCACCAGAAGAACTAACTGCTGCAAACTCAACAGCTTCAGGTATTTATAAAATTGAATACAATTTGTATTCAACTTCAAAGTGTCCTATTTTAGAAGATTAATTTATCAAAAGAGACGGGAACTTTTTAAGGTCATACGTGTTTTCTACTGTTAGGTCAGCAGAGCTTGTATCTAGACTACCTTTTCTTTAAAGTAGAAGGAAGCTGTTCAGAGCAGTATCTGTATCCTTTATACCTTTGATGATCTGACATAATTCCAAAATGGAAAGTGTATGCTTTGATGCTTTGGACACTTAAAAAGTAACAAAAGTCTCAGAAAACTGAAGTGTGAGCTGGTGCTCCTAGTCAACTGTGACTTGGCTGAGGCTGGAAACACTTTACATAGTTTTCATTAAGTGTTTAGGGTGCAGATGTAAGAGGCAACAAGTCAGGTGAATATTTGGTAATAAAGATCTCTTCCTGCGTTAGGTCTGTTGTTGCTTTTGAGAGAAAATGTGAGAAATAATCTATTCTTCCTTTCCCTTGAGAAGCATCTAGTGATGAAACTTTAGTAAAGCCACAAGAAACTGTACAACAGATAATATATCTTTTCCTTAAAACAGCTGATAGTGAAGTCATTATGCGAAGGATCACCAATAGAGCAAGTGTGTACAGCTCAGAGATTCCACTTAAAATTACTGCTGAATCTAAGCACTTAGTAGGCAGAAAACTTATACCTCTATTGCAAAGTAACCCACAACATGTGGCTCAACATTAAAACCATTAACAGGAGGCATTTCTCATGCAAGAGACTGTGCTAAACTGTATGGAAATGACAAGCTCTATGTTAAGTTCTATACTTGCTGTTGGTGTGTTTGGTTGGTTTTGTTTGTTTTTAAGTAAGTGTTCTTTTAATCTCCAGTGTGTTCTCAGAGCTTAAGTGCTCTACTCTCATTTTTAGAGATCTTTCTTTCCACTGGAATCAACAAAGACTTCCCACTGAATGCCTGTCTCTTATGTATGGGCTACACAGCTGAAGGATTCATATGGAACATACTGGGAGAGATGCTATATTAAAAATATTGATAGGCTATGATTAAAGTAAGTCTCCGCTGCCAAAATGTTGCATAGCCAGCTTTCCCCTCTACTTCTCTGAAGAGCTGACTGCTAAAGTGGCCTTTGGTTATGCTGCTTCTGGTTTATGCTTCAGATTTTTGAATAATGACTCTACTTTTCAGAAGGGGGATGCTTACCAGCACACAGAGCATGTGTGCCTATGGTGGTTTAGAGCATAGAGGGGCTACATGAATATCTGATACAGCTCTTGTCTAACTCCAGCAGGGTGGAAGGCACCATGTCACCAGTACAAGAGAAATCCTCAGCTCTGGAAGACCTAAGGAGTCGGATTGAAACAAGTGACTGGGCTATTGCAGGGCTAGTGGTGATTGGCATCTTCTGCCTTGTTATTGTTGCTTTCTTCTTAATTGCAGCCATCTTTGGCTGCTGCTCATCGCCAAGACACAAACGGACTAGGGCATGAACAGTGAAACTGAGGTGCAGTACTTGGAGCTCTGTATTTAAGCAAGAATCAGCCCAGCTGCAATATGTTGTTCTCATCTGTCCTCAGGTGGTTATTTCTCCCCATCAGCTTTCCCACATTGAGAGCAATGTACCTATGCCAGCAGGTTGTTCTGCAAGTCCAGAGCAAACTCCAGAGAAGGCAATCTGTATTCAGGAAGTGAATGAGGACTCTGGCATTTTGTTAATTACGTCTCTGCCTCATTTTCATTTTTCAAGCAAAACCACAGGATAGACTTGCCAGCAACTACCTGAAAACAACGAAGACCTCTTCCACTACTGCAATTACTTGTTTGTTCTTTCTATTCTGCAAATGGGCATTAGGAAACTGACCAGCAGAAGCTTTGTCTGAATCAATTCTCTAAAAGCAGCTTAAACAGTTTTTCTCTTATCATACTCAAACAATAGCCTAAATACACCATGCAAAAACTTGCCTGCCAGAATACAAATGTCTGTACGTGTTCTTATTTAAAATCTTGCACAGTCAGAATTTCAGCTTTACTTTTGCTGTTTGGATAATGAACAGAATTGTACTAATTCAAAATGTAAAGAAGAAATGTGATGTAGTATTTCTTCAAAGAGCTTAGTTTCTTGTACAGCTGCAAGCAGAGAAGCCAGGCAATAGTGTTGTAATGTGTGACCTTGGAATGCACATGTTTTAATCTTGGGGAGGGAGTAACAAAACAAACTTAAAAAAAAAAAAAAAAAAAGACATGATTTCTAATTAGGTTAGTGGGCTTCCCTTACATAAATCTCTTACATAGGTAGTGAAATTCTGTTTCTATTGTTATTCACCTAAGCAAAGGAGAATGTTTTCTCTCTATTCTCACCAAAGCATCAGAAAAGCACACATCACTTGAAAAACTTGTCCTAGATACAAGTGTGAAGAATGAAACAAAACATGAACTTAAAAGCAGGACACATGCTGGTCACTTTCAGTTAGTGAACGCATACTGCTCTTGTACTGGGAAAATTATAGCTTCAGTGTTTTATCCAGTATAGTAATTAGTACAATTACAGTTTACAAAGCATGAACTAAACCTGAACAATATATGTTGCGGTTGCTAGTCTGCATTTAGATGGGGCACATCCATAATTTGGGCCTGCTTCTGAAAGGATCTAAGCACCACCAGGTCTTTCTAAGCTTGATGAAAATCAAGGAGACCTCATTCTTTGTAGAGTGGAGCTCCTGAGGTTTTAAAGCTAAGTGGTTCTATCCTGTCCTGGATGAGGCTGCTTAATTATCTTAAAAGAGAAATGACAGCTGAAGGAGGAAAGAGTCAAAATAAAAACAACTGGAATTAAGTCATCTTACCACACACAAAACATTAAAATTCATATAATGAGAAATCATACTTCTCCACTAACCAACATCTCAGTTAACCCAGAGGTGAAAATGAATGACAGATGTCTGAGGGATGCCTTCCTCAGGCTGGACAGCAAAATACCAGTTGAATCAGTCAGTATTTTCCTTTTCCTGGACATGCATTTGCAGAAAGATCTCTACCATAACAGTGCCTCAAAAAAGATAAGATATAGTTTCCACAATATTAAATGTTGCTTGGAAGAAGTGTACTCACCCCAACTCCTCACAGAAGCTTACAATAGCATCAAAAGCTGTCATCGCAGCCTTGTCAGATTCTTTTAAGGTGCCTTTTTTTTCCTGAAAGTAGAGAGGGACAAGTCTTCAAATACAAACAGGTCAACTAACTCTAGTGATAACCAAATCCATTCCTCCTGAGCAATGTGGCAAACTGGTACAGGCACCATCCTGTTTCTGCTCAACCATGCTTCTCTAATAAGGCTTAAGCTGGGCTTGGAGTCCCTTACCTCACTGCTCTCCCTTGAAACTGGGTTACAGACAGCTGTATACTCAAAACCTTTTCTTACAGCTCCAGAAAAAACTCATTTCATTTTTGCGTATTTAGGTGGATGCTTGTTCTGCCAAACTTACCTGGATTTTAGAGAGCTCCTTCTTAATCAGGAAGCTAACTTGATCCCGGTCGTTCCTAGAGTAATAGAGGCGGCAGCAGGAGGGCTTCCCATCTCTCCCAGCTCTGCCAGACTCTTGGTAATATCCTGCCATTGACTTGGCAATGTTCCAATGAGCAACAAACCTGCAAGTGATAAGAGAATGGCTGCTTTCTCAACTCAGGGCACACACAAACGTGTTCATGGATATTAACAACAGAGTAAATAACAAGGCAGCAAAAGCATAAAAGACATAGAACTTAGCAGAACAAGGGGTTCTGCACATAGAAGTGTAAGTCTTAACACAAGACACAAGGAAAGCAGCAGAACTGTGTAAGCCAATGCATGTGAACAAGTGAGCAGAATGCCACGCAAAATGGATGAAAGCAAAAGGGCACACAAATATCCAAACATAACTGCACAGCTGTGGAGAGCAAGAATAAGGAAACTGATTTAAGGAGTCTGGAATATTTTACCATAAGACAGGAGATTTTAAAAGGCCCTATTTATTCTCTGGAGCACAATTTGAAATACTTGATTTTAAAAAGACATTTTGACAATGAAGTCTGTGAGGGAAATTCTACCTCACCAAACTTACTTGTAGACAAAGGCACCTTTCCCAATTCAGCAAATATGACCACAAATTGATGCTAAACTGTAAGTAATTTCTGAATGAATGTTTTTAAATGCACCTCCACAAGACTGCTTTAATTCTGCTTGTGTTTGAATATTCAGAAACTCAGTTCATACCTGTGTTCAGTCCTGAAAGGTCTGAGCATTTTACCATACTGTAATGCTGCCAATATTTTAAATACCAGTCTGCCTCAACACTGGTCTTTTTAAAGCTCTGCCCAGAGGCAGGTAAGATGTACACTGGTTTGATAAAAGAGCAAAAAGAAAGAGTTTCTCCAAACACAAATGCTTCAGGACCAGACCAGGTATGAATAATCTTAACTAAAAATGAATTAGCAGTGAAGAAAAATTTCCTTCAGAAAGAGAGACAACCCCTCTGTTTTTCCTTTTGATACAAAGGGTCACCTCCAGAACTTCTCAGACTTGATCTTACTTGATAGAATACGCATGAATACTCAGGACTCTGCTAACAAAAACTGAAGACTAAGCAGCAGGGCCTCATACCTGGGCTAGGGTATAATATCCTTAACTTACTGAAAAACAACTTGTAAGGAGTAGTTTTAACTTAATTTCTTGGAGACCAACCATACTACAAAAGCATGTTTCAGCTACATTTTACCCTCTGTCAGCCCTATGCATTTCAGATAATTTTTGCTGGCTTATTGGCCATTGCAATGAAAAGGGGAGAGACTAATTTCAGCAGGTTGTTAATTCATGCTACTCTGTTAAAGACTTCTAATTTCTCTTTTCAGAAATTAGTTGCATGTTACATGCAACAAGCAGTAAAACAGTCTGATATTGCTACAGAATCCTGTTATCGGCCAGCACAAAGGATGGCACAATTATTTAACATGGCACAGTTTAATGGCACAGTTGTGAATAGATGTCATAGCCTCAGAGATGTCCTGTCACTCTCCTACAGCATTCAGAGTAATTGCTTTACGTAGATTTTGAGTAAAGATCAGCTCCACGTAGGTTGTTGCATGGCTTCTAAGAAAACCTCCAGCTACATTTTTATGAGTTTCAGCAAGCCTTCATCAAGTGTTTGAGTCAGATGTACCAGGTAATAGACACTGAGGTTTTCCCTTCCTACTGCTCAGGTTTCAGTCTCTGGTGGAGGACAACACTCAGCTTCACAAACCTGACATTTGCTTTGTCTACTCCCATTCCAAAACTGATGGTTGCAACAATAACTGGGATCTTCTCCTCCATCCATTCATTCTGGACTGAAGTCCTGTCAGCTGCCTTGAGCCCTGCAAATGGAAAAAGATGAAAGGAAACAAAACAAAAAGGGGAAGAAGTATTTTGTGCCCCCTCCTCACATTCCCCCATTGCAATCCCCTCAACTAAAAACAAACCAATGTACACACTCTTCTCTGTCCATGTTTAAACTGGCTGGGAATCAAGCAGAAGTCAGCAGCAGCTGTTTCTGTTCCAAAGAGAAAAATCTGGAACATTCCTGGGAGGAGTGCAGTTATATTTAGGCCATGCAAGATCCAACAAAACCAACAGCTCTGAAGTGGAGAGAATGCTGTTCTGCTCTGTTACCCATATTTACCTCAAAGATCTGATGCATGACCATTAAACACATTGCAGACCATGCCAAGAAAGCTAGAAATTAGCTAATCCCATCTAGGCCTTAAAGGTGGTACAGTTCAGTTCTACCAGCTGCTGAGAGATGCAGATTTCAGTACCTGCGTGATACGCTTTGGCTTTCACTCCTCGGTAGCTCAATTCAATAGCCAGCTGGTCACACACATCCCTCATCCTGCAGTACACAATGCCACAGCCGGAGTACACCTGGGCACGCAGGAGAGAAAGTCTGTGATGCTGGCTGAAGTCAACAAAGCTGCAGTCATCAATAAGGAGGAAATGGAAGGATGTCTAAGGCTCATCTAATCTCCAAGCTGGTTCCACAGCTACTCAAAGGTATTGTCTTGGCACAAAATTAAATAAGATTTAAGGACAGCTTCCTTACAAGTCCTACAAGGACTAAAAAACACTGAACAAACATGGTCCCCCAACCTCTCTCAAAGAATACAAAGCAAGAAGCAGTATCCCTCCATATTACAATAGACTAAGAGAGACTCAGAGACTGACTTATTTGCCAAGTTATTTTGGGAATTGGTGTTTTCAATACAACACTCCAAGCGCTGTTGTTTGTCCTTGTTGTATTTCATCATTGCCACACTGAAAGAGCAGAACACTATCATACACTGACTGCCTGCAACATGAAAAAACAAAGGCAGAAATACTATTTGTGTATTCCTAATACGTTTTCTTTTAAATCAACCCCTTTCTGAAGAAATCTGCATTTGAAAAAAATGCAGTTCCATATTCTACTTGTTTTAGAGGAACTAAAAAACAAATGAGCACCTTCCTTCCAGGTGTTCCTTTCTCCTTTCCTGCCACAGACTTATCGGGGCCATTCCAATCACCAATCATTGACCACTAAGGAAGATTTTGTTCAGCCTACCCTTCTTCCTCAAATGAAAAACCTACCCCAGTGGTGTTCTTCACTTCCAGTGCCTTCAGACAGAAATCCTTCAAGTTGGCATAAGGATCAGTCAAGAGCTCTTTGAATTGCACATCATAGAACAAGTTAGATCTGAAGCAAGGAGTCTTAAAGGTGGCAAGTGGCTGCTTCAGCTTAAGTGCTGTCACAATATCCTCCTGGACTTGCTTGGTAGCAGTGGCAGTCAAAGCAACACATGGTGTATTGGGTATGCGAGTACGCAAGGTGCCCAGCCGTAGGTAGTCTGGTCGGAAATCGTGTCCCCACTGGGAGACACAATGAGCTTCATCAATTATCAGGTAGGACAGGAGATTTCGAGACACTAGGGAGTTGAGTGTAGGCTGGAAGGATGAGGCAGCTGCCATCTCTGGAGTGATGTACAGAAGTTTTATCTGAGGCTTCTCACTTGCTAAGTCAGCCAGGATGGTCTTCTTTTCCTGGGCGGAAAGCTTGGAGTTCAGAGAGCAGGCTTTGATCTTCAGAGCCAGCAAATGGTCCACTTGGTCCTGGAGTAAATATATAATGAAAATAAAATAAGAAGGAAATAGCATTAAAGAAAGCCTCCATTACTATGGAAGTCTACAGGCAAGATTTGTGAGGCCCCAACTTTTATCTCCAGGACCAAGCCTTGGGATAACATCCAGTTATAGTGCAGCTATTTACCACTTCAACTCCAGAAGCCTTTATCTTCAGCAGTCAATATATCTGTTTGGCTCTTAACATCCAAGTCCTTTTTTCAGCTTCCATTCACTTTAAATGGTCACTTTGCTACTAAGGAATATCAGCACAGAGCTATGCAGAATACTTAGTCATAGCCACAGTGAGATTAAATGAGCACCAATGTCTCAAAATTTACCCTACCAAGTTGTCATGGATGGAAAATGAATAAAACTGCTATACAAAAACAGAGCACATTTCATTCCAAAATAACCAAAGGACTTTATAAAGCTGGCTGAGATATTATGAGACACAAAGGCTAGTGTGAATCACCACTGTAACAGAAGTGAGTGTGAACAAGAATCATGTCCTGAAAATCAGGAAGAAAACAGCATCACATTTAGATACATCTAGATGAACATGGGATGTACAGCTCACCCTATCTTGACACTGATTTGTTCACTTGTGCTTGACTAGCACATAACATTTCAAAAGATACGAGTAATCCTGAAAGATTAATACCTCATCATATCACTCTAACTGTTTCAGTTTCAAGCCAGTTCTTAATTCTTGATGTTCACTATAGGCTACAACACCAGCTATTGTGCATTGTTAGTGCTATAGCTGCTCTTATAGGGAAGCATTAGGTGATGAAAACAGTGGAAAAGGCAAAATACACAAACAAAAGGTCATATCAATGACAGTGCTCAAGGAGGAACTCTACTAAACCAGCTTCTCCCCATGACACAAAGACAGACCACAACAGACAGTTTGATGCAAAAAAAAATTTATGCCTTCAAAAGCAATTTCATCATTGCTTGAGTTGTAACCCTATAGGTAAAATGGAAGTTTTCTTCTGAGTAAAGATTTGGTACATTTGAGGTACTCTACTTTCCTGCTTCTGTACAGCCCAATGGAGATAAAAGACAGCTGCTGAAAATGGAAAAAGAATCAGTTATAGAATTCAGCAGGCTATTATCAAGGAAAAAATGCCCCCTTTTACGGAGCTGCATATATCAAGCCAGAGCCATGCTGTCAGGCAGTTAATCTGCAGCCTCTTCACCTGTCACCAGGCTAAAGAAGGCATGCCAAGACATCAAGACAAGAATGCAGAAGCAGGGTAACAGCAAAGCCTTGTGGACAGAAAAGAGAGAGACAGCTGTGCCTCCAGAGTCTCCCAACCCCCTTCACTGACTGCTTTTCCATAGCTAACAGGAGACAGTTACCTGAATCAGTGCAATCAGAGGTGAAATGACAATGGTGATGCCCACTGCCAGAACTGCAGGAAGCTGGTAGCACAAGGATTTCCCTGCCCCTGTGGGCATACATACAAAGACATCCTTCTCGCCTGCAAAGACAACAGAACAAAGCTCAAGGCTATTGAGTGATGGCGAGTTCCCAGGCCTCTGTCTGGAGGGATGGGCACAAAGCCATGTAATCTGTGAGAAACAGCAAATCTGTGCATGTACCATGTAGCATACCAACAAAAGAGACTTCATTTCGGGTTCTAAAAGTGGTGAGGATAATTATTTGCATGCCTGCATTGCTTTCCTTCAAAGAATCTCTGATCACTTTGTGAACATTAAGGAATAGCCTTTCACAAATACCGGAAGATGCACAGAAACCAAGATAAAGAGAAGTTAAACAGCTAATCCAGACTAATGCTGATTCTCTTACAGATTAGCTGCTTTCACTTATCTTACAAACCTCCAGTTACCAAACAACCAGTCCCAAGACAGATCTTTATCACACCCTCCCAAAGCTTATCCCAAAAAGTAAATCTCAACCACATAGATAACATTATTCAGTTAGTAACTGTCACCATGCTAAGGAGTAACCACTTCAAGTCAGGAAGATGCCAACTCATACAGTTTTAACATGGAAAAACAGCCAGCTGACAGAACACTACTTTCAGCCAATCTATTATCAGTAGCACATCTGCAGGTGACAGATGAAAACTGTAACCACATCCTGCATGCTGAATTTTACACTGTCCTGATTTGCATTATAAGACCTGCAAGGAGAGCAGATGGTCAGCAGTGTGTGTGTGTGTGTGTGAGCTGCCTGTCCAACCAACAGTGGTGGATAAGTTAACTTCAGCACAGCTGTGTTTTTCCGATAACATCCACATCATTCAGAGAATAGAGGTTAACTCTGCAAATGTAGAAATGTAGATAGTTTCAACCTCATCTGACCGCAAGCATGCTACCAGATGCCTCTAATGGAGATACTGGAAACACTAAAATTGAATGCTATTTCTGATCAGTGCAATAGGGTTCTTACAAAATAAATATATGGGAGAACGGGTAGAGCAAAGCCATGCTCAGAAAACTTCGTTTGCAACACATGCTTGCACTCCTATGCCACTAAAGTGATCTCTGAGCAGGGGAGGCTGAGGAGAGCTCAGAGGGCTGGTGGTCCTTCCTGGAGCAAGCAGTGTCTCCTTAGAGCCAGCTGCTGCAGAGCTTTCAGACGCTGAGCCTCACCTCTCACCACAGCCATGGTTGCACTTTCCTGCAGGGAAGTCTTGAACGACTCAAACCCGAAGACCTTTCCCAGCGTTTTCCGGACCCTGCCCTGCAGGCCTGGGGCCGCCGTGCTGCTCATCTCGGAGAAGCTGCGGATGGAGGAACTGATACTGAGTCCCCCCTTCTGAGACGAGCCCCCCCCCCGTTCCCCTGACAGATCCCCCATTCGTGGGAGCTGCCCCCTCACTGCCCCACAGCCTCATTCCTTGTGGGATCTCCATGAGGCCGGGGTCAGTTGGGGGTCTCGGAGCACCTTCCCGCCACCAGCCCCTCACAGCTCCCCCTCAACGCGCCCATAGGCCGTATCCTTCCGCCCCTTTCCCAACCGAACCCCTCCGCACCCCGGCCCCCACTCTGCGCTTCCTCAGGGTCCAGTCAGGCGCCGTTGTGGCGCCGCGTGATGACGTCAGAAGCCGCTCTTAAAGGGCCAACCCCCATCTTAAAATTTAAAAAGCAAAGCAATCCCCCCCCAAAAAATTACCCGTCTCACCTTTGGCCTTTCATTTCATCCTATATAATGTCTTCACTGAGAGTTCTGCCCGCCTCGCAGCGTGCTAGCATCGACATTTCCCCGTTGATCAGCGCCCGTTTAAAGCGGAAGGAGGAGGGCGGCGTTGCTATGGCGACCGCTCAGACGTCATTTGTGCGCGACGGAAGCGCGCCCGCCTGTGGCAGAAGATGGCGGCGGCGAAGCGCAGCGTCCTGTCCTCGTTGGCGGTTTATGCCGAAGATTCAGACCCGGAGTCGGATAGCGAGACCGGGACGGCGGGAAGCGATGGGGGAACGGCTACGGGTGAGGGTGGGGAGGGGCCTGGGGAAAGCAGCGGGCTGACCTGGAGCCACCCCCCGCCTTCCTGTCAGAGAGGGGAAGGCCCCGCTCGTTCTCGTCTCTCCTTTCTCATTGTTTGCTTTCTGTTTTTCTCCTCTTTTGCTTTAGGAGAGAAAGGAGGGCTTGTCTCGGTTGGGTATGGAGAAGATGATTTCAGCCGCCTGGATGGGGATGAGGAGGGGTATGAAGAGGAGGACGACGAGAACAGCAGGCAGTCAGTAAGTATCTTGCAGTTCCTGGGGCTTGCCTTGCTCGCAGCCATGCGTTGCAAAGCCTTTTACTCCTGGGAGAGCCCCTGAGTGGCACCCTGAGCCGGAACCTGACAGTGTTGACTCCTGGTGCAGGTCTCAGCACTTCCCAAGTATTGTAACTCACTTTATTTTCAAATAGAAGGCACTTGCCTTGGAGCCCAATGGCAGTTTGGTGCAGATCTTGCTGCTTGTTACTAACTCTGTTGATGATGTTTGACTCTTCTATGGGGAAGAAACTGTCACTGTGAGTGTACACTATTCCTTAAGCATTGTTAGCATGTATGAGAATGCTAAGGGAGAAAAATGCTGTTGCATTGTCAGCTGGAAAATTGATAAGAATGAAGTTCTGTCACGTCTTCAGTTATTCTTCTGTGTGTAACTCAACTTACTACATCAAGTTAACTTGATGTAGCAGTGTCTTGTGTAGACTTGAGTGGCTTTTGTTTGTCATAGGTGCATGGCATGTACGTAATACCACATAAACACCAAGACAATTGATGCACTTTAAGACAGCGCATGTAGTCTACTGCACAGGAGTGCACCTATTACACAAAAAAGGACAAATACTTCTGATGTGTCTGTAGGAGTGAAGCAATATCTTGAAGAGTTAGGGGGAGGTTCTTGTCTCCTTTTTCTTCTATCAGCCTTTTCAGAACCCTGTATTGCCTTGACTCTACTCTATTTTTTTGGCAACTTAGTACATGAAGGAAATAGGGCTGTGTTGCTACAGCTTCCCTTTAATGAAATCTACTTTGTGTGCATTAGATCATTCTCTTATGTGACTCTCACTGTTGTGGCTATCTGCTTCCCCAGTTAGCAGAGAAGCAATTTGTCTTTTCCTGTTTGTTTTGTTCTGTTTCCGACTGGAGTAAGTGTGAGCAATAGCATTCACAGTGATTGTCTGGCTAAGTGAAGTTATAACACTTCTTTACTGCGTTTGTCATTCTCCTCTTCATATCCAAAGCTTATAGACTCTTTCAGTGAGATCCCTTTATTTTAAAGGTGGTAGGTGTGATTCGGTTGTTCCTCGACAACTAAGTATGTAAAATGGGGTAGTCTGTATTGCACATGCATTATCAGTGTAGATTTTAACCATCCATCTCCTAGGAAATTCAAGGCCTTATGCAAGAAACAGCAATTGGTGAAATCACTCCAGTGTTTAGCTAGCAGATCTTCATATGTTTTCAGTTACTGTTCTGATCTGTGGAGATTAATTAGGGTGCCTTATCTGTAGTCTTGCTGCAAGGCAGAAGCATATTTTCTTTAACTAGAATCAAGGGATTCCTTGGTAGAGTGTAGCATGGGCAGTTATTGGTTATGAGCTGTTTTGGAAAGCAGTACAAATTGGATTCAGGTTGTTTTGGGGCTTAACAAAATAATCCTGTGCTTATATTATCTACCTTATCTGCTGTTTGTTTTTTATCTTCAAAGGAAGTTTCAGTAATGTTTTCTTGCTGTTTCAGAGATGTCCCCTGTTAGGTTAGAAGGTTTTTGAAGCTATTTCAGTTAAGTGTTCATCTAACGAATGATTGAACCTATTGTTGATTATTTGAAAATTACTTCTCTTTGAATATGTGGGAGCTTGGAGGGGGAATCTCACTTGTGATCAAGTTCCAAGTAACTTGGTACTGTGGTTCTTTTTTAGTTACACAGTTACTGTTATTGAACTTGATTGCTAAAACTGAGTTATCGGCATGCATGTATGTTTTAGGAAGGTAAGCTGGAGAGTAGTTGAATTGAAGAAAGGGTTTGGTGTCTCACTTCTGTGGAATACGCATGTTAATTCCTGCAATTAAAACTTTGGTGTTACTAGGTAATCATTCTGTAGCTTGCCTTGCCAGAACTTGAGCGTGTGCTAACACCCTAAAGTGTGCACTTTGTGTTAACTCTTCAGTTGCACGTAATCTTTTTGTTTGTTTGTTTTTAAATACCGAGTTACTATTTTGGGGCCAAAGCTCAAATGGAGTAGTGAAATTCAAAGGAAAAACTGTTCTGAATTGAGTGAGCATGAAAACTATTTTTTATTCTGCTCCTCTACTTGCTTTGAACCCAGAGTATCTATTTACATACATAGCTCTAGGATCCCCAGTGAAGCAGTAACCCATTGGGCAATGGAACAGTATGTTTATCTATCTACCAGTTTCAGATCAAAGCTATTGCTTACTTCTCATGAGAATTTTATACAAGGCTGAATCTGGTATTTTAAGCTCTCAAGGCAAAAACTTGCCAGTTTTTTTCTTATATCTGGGTAGAGATGAAAACTGGATGTTATCTGTTGTCTGAAACTATTGGGTTGTTCTTTTCTATGGAAGCTCACATAATCAGTAAATGAGGCCATGAGAGCACTGTGCAAGTAAGAGAAGATGTGTCAGCAAGCATCACTGGATCTTTCAAACTTGGCACTAGGGCAGATCCTTACCAAGCCTGCATGTTTGCTTGGATGGCAGGCAAGTTGTGTGTCTTCTATGTGTTGCTTGGGAGTATAACAGGCCTTGCAAGTGCTGCTTTTGCTGTGAGACCTGCTCAACAGGGGCGAGTGCAAGAGAAGCCCCCACCTGCCAACCAGAAAAGATAGAATTAACAAATGACAAATGTTTTTCTTCCTAGCTCTGATTTTTTTTTTTTATTGTCTAGCTCAGAACATTGAGGAGCCACGTGACTTTTCTGGAAGACATTTGCTACTGAATTATGCTCTTACCTTAAAAAGGAAACAAACTCCTAACAAAACTACACTTTTTTTTTCCCTATAACTGTAGGGCTTGTTTGCTGGTCGTGAGTGGGTGGGGAAAAAATAACTTCCATTAGAAGGGTCTTGGAGAACTGCTGGGCTGCTGAATACAAGCCCTTTGCTATAAGTGCAGTTACTTTCCAAGCCTTCTCTTTAAGCTTAATCCTGTAAATTCTTGTCTTGTAGGAAGATGACGATTCAGAGACTGAAAAACCTGAGGCTGGTGACCTAAAGGTATTTGGAAGTGTGGCACGGTGGTGGGGGGAAAGCTCAGTACAAGAGGAATAAGTCTTAAAAGCATGGCTTTGGTATTCATTTTTGATCTTCTTTAGCTAGTTTTGTACTTTCTTTTTGTAGATGTAACATGATTTTTGACTTTAATTCTGGCTTCTGCCAAAATCAGTTAAGTAGTTAAGCTATGGACTGAGTGATGGTCAAGATCTGTATTGAAGAACTGCAGTCTTCTGAATTAGATCAGAGGTGTATTTTGTGACAGCGTCTTGCCTGTTTTTCAGTGATCAGGGAGATGTGGTTAAGTGCAGAATTCTCTTATTTCTGACCAGCATTACTTGAAAAGCTGTAGTTAGAACCTTTAATGAGTAAATGATTGTATGTTCCTAGAGGTCATAAAACATGTCAATTGTCAACTTTATCAATTCAGTTGTGCCCAGAGAAACAGTTCCAGGTTTTACAGTTAACACTTATATCTGTTAGAAAAATGTGTGGCAAAAGAAAGTTCAATTGAAATACATAGCAGTGAGACTGGGATTCAGGCAGAAAAAGAGTCTAAGCTTGACCCCATGTCTGCAACTGAATGTTACTATAGATTATGGGAATACATAAGCTGCCTGTTCAGTTTCTACTTATCTTGCTGTATAAATTGGTTTCCTAAGTTAAATTACATTAAAATCCTTTTACATAATGAGTGAACTTTTTAAGGTAAAGGAACCTGCCATGCTGTCATTTTCTCTGCATTAGGAAATGAAGTAGAAGCAGTCTGCATAGAAGCAGTGTGTAAATGCAGTTGAAGTTTTAACACCTATTTCTCTGTGATCTCTTCTTTACAAGAAATATATATCCTCTGCAGATTAAAGAAGATGCCTCAAAGCAAGATATACTAACAAATTTACATAGAGATTTCAGTGTAAAAGACACCAGAAGAAACAGCTTAGTGGATTGTAAAAATGACAATAAGTAGAATGGGCATCTTTCCTCTGCTTCTTGAATTTGGAATGTTCTTATTCAGCACAGGCACACCCAAGTAGAAACAGGCAGTTCAGGTAAGAACATTCTGAGTAGTTAACAGCAACACAGGTAGGTTGAACTGAAGTGTTAGAGAAAAACAGATATTAAGACTATATACTTTAGCTTGAGTAGACTAATTTTTCTGCTTTAAAATAAAGTTACCAGCTGTAAAGCTGGTATTACTTCCTTACAAAGCTTGCTAAATTGATTGTTGCTTTTGGCTTTCATAGTTAGAAAGTAAAATACAATCCCTTTCATCCTAGCATGGCATGAGAAGTGAGGATTTGAGAGGACTATCAGGGAGGCAGCTCTGAACTTCAGGAGTTCTAGACTTCTGTCATCTTTAATAGTGGTCCTTAAGTGTAAGTGGAAAAAAGCCACTATGAGCGTAGCAAACAGCCCAGACAAGGTGTGTTCATGCTGTAAAGCATAGTGTGGGATGCTGAATGGAGATGCTCTAGCTGTACTACAAAGAAATTTATTTGGTATGATGGGCAGGAATAGAACATTTCTGTGAAAGTCATTTTTACTTGTAGCAGTAGAAAATGTTTATCTCCCTTTTCCACCAAGTGGCAGTGTTCTCCTGGTTCCTTCCTCACTGCTTTGAGCTTTCAGTATATGTGAGAACTAGAGAGTAAGAGTTGTGGTTACTCTAAATCCAAAGTGTGGTGAGAAGTGAGACACTTATTAACTAGCTGACTCTTCTGGATAATTTTATTTCTTTTTTCCCAGCTGAGTGCTCTAGCTGCTCTTGCTCTCATTCTTACCTTGAGATGTCGCAGGCCTGAAAACATACTTAAATAGATGATGTGAGCCTTTTATATGTGGCCAAGGTGTTCCCAGTGCCTGAATCTGTGTGCAGAAAGCCAATCCTTTAAAATGCATGAATGATATGAAACCATTGCAAATGATTAGTTAATTATAGTCTTCTCAAGCTCTGAATCTACATTCAGATTCTTTTTCTATCGTTTTCTGAACACGTGGTGAATAAACTATTTTATCTTATTTGAACAATTGAGGAGAACAGTTGACAGGCCAAGTTGTGTGGAGGAGTTCCCTTGTTGCTGGAGCATCCTGTGACTTGGCTTCATTTCTTGCTTGGATAGTAACAAACAAAACCTCCAGCTGGTGGTCGGTTTTGGATATAAATCAAGGAGACTAAAAGTTGGGAATGGTGTAATAACTGGCAGTGACAATTGTAATGGTAAAGTGATGATGGGGAGAGTGGAATTCATAGCCTGCCTCAAAGTTGCAGTGAGGAGACTTTTCTACTCCAACATATGGTATTTATATTTGCCTCTGGTTTTTAATCTTGACTCTACCCTTTTTGATCTTGAAGACTCATCACATCTGTCTGTCCTTACAGCCCTTGTTCCTCACTAGAGGTAAAGGAAATAAGAAAGCCTTGGAACTTGGATGGAATTGCAGCTTTCATCTTTTTTTTTTTTTTAATTATTTTCTGCTGAGCAGAAAGTTACAATGAGCTTATCAAAATAAAATACTGATATCAGTCCACTGTGTTGTCTACCCTTGGAGAGTCAAGTGGAAATTTTCTATGAATCTATTTGGGGAAAGATGTGCCAGGTATAGAAGAATATTTAGGCTTCATCAGGCATCTGGAAGAGTTATCCCTCAGCAGGCTTTTAGCTCATAGGGTTTTCTGTTACTGCACACCTGTGAGGCAGTCCTGAATGCTATATGCTTGTAATAAAAAAAAAAAATTCTCCTCTTTAGGAAGCAAAGTCAGAATTCTTGCATCCTGTAACTGAAGTGTTTCAGGGACCCACAGAAAAATGCAGACCCACAGAGAGATTCAAAGCTAGGTAAAGCAAATTGCTTCTCCAAACTGATCTGAGAAGAATGTGCTCAGACTCTGGAGCAGCACATTGTTAGTAACCAAAATGACTTCAGTGTTCCCTGCTTTTAGTATTAAATAAGCAGTTACAAACTTCAAACTGTCTTAAAGGGAATTCAGAAACAAAGCCTTCTGCTTAGGAGGAAAAAGGAGTGGTTCACAGAAACTGCTGGCAAAGGACTGGTGTCTTTTGGAACCCCAGAGCCTGGATGGAGTCTTAGATCGTTTCGTCAGGTGATGGAACCATGAGTACAAAACAAAGGATACTGTGAAAATATCTGAAATTTTACATTCTGCTGGCTGTATTGATTTGGAATGATGAGGGTTAAAGGGCCCTGTGGTGCCTGCCAGGTGCTTGGGCTCTTGCCAGCCACTGGTTATGGTTACAGCCTTGATGTAGGAACAAGATACCAACCAGGCTGCAGAGCTTGCTACAGGGGCCAGCCCTGCAGGAAGAGGAACATGAACCTTAAGTACTGACTTCGTGCTCCAGGTCTTACTGGAGGGGTTCTGTGCTTGGTGCTGTTGGGCTGGATGAATAACAGACTACAGGAGGACAGGGCACAGCCCTTCAGCTTGGTTTGCAGGTGTTTTCACAGAGGGAATCATTAACTCTTGAGCTTTGATTCTGTTATCAGGACTAGCCAGCACAGGAACGCTGATAAATATTGACACTCCCTATGCAAGTATATGCTTAACACATGGTAACAGTTACTTGGAAGGAGTAGCTTTCAGAAGAACCTGTGTTCTCTGGTTCTGTTTTAAGGGTCCTCCTGCATCTTTGTGGTATTCTGTTGAGAGGCAGTCCAAGTGGGAGGTAGCAGAAAGGTGTCCCATTTTCAGAGGTACGCTATGTTTCTATGCATGTCTAAGCACCACCTTTTGGTAGTCATCAAAGCTGTATAGCCCTTATCAATCCAGTCAGCCTGTGAATAACTTCCCTGTGTTATGATGCATAGATATGTATTAAGGTAGAGCTTTTGATTGTGATGTGGGTTGTTTTTTTATATATCTTGCCTGGTCATTAATCCATCTGTTTAAATACCAAAATTATCTTGATTTCAAGTAAAAGTCTTTGAGGATAAGAACAAGTAAATGGGAGATTGTGCAGTAGTGTAGTCCTGATGATTAACTCTCATTTTTATAAGGCATGTGAATTTTTCTGTATTCAGCATGCATTCATCTAGCCAGGTCATCAGAAGATACCTGAATGTACTCAGGAACTTACACCTCATGTAATTATTTTACTCTGAAAAAGGAGAAAAAAAAAAAAAGCATTAGGGAAAAATGGTATCTATAATAGAAAGCTGTTCTTCCATTTCCACAGGCTGCAAGATGTGAAAGAAGGAGCTGACCTCTAAAAACTTTAGAAAATAAATTAGAGTTGTTTGCTGTAGTGGTGGCAAAGTATGAAGTTTGTTTAGGAAATACCAGCCCTTGATACTTTCAGCTGCTTAAAAGGAATCCAAAAAATTCTGCTTAGAATGTTACAGGTCACCCCACTGAAGAACAACTATTAAAACTGCTATTCTGCCCCAAAACTGTGCTCTTGGCAGCTGGAGCAGCTGTGTATTGATCTCGTAGTGGTTGGATCTGGTAGGATGTAATGGCTTTAGAAGTGTGCTGCAGGAAGGCACTGCTAAAGTCTTATCAGAATTTTAAAAAAACATATGTTGTCCCTTGCCCTCTTTATTTGAGCTTTCTGATGCTATCAGGCTTAGTATTTTGGGCTCTGACAGACAGGACTGGCAGAAGAGTTGCCATGCTTTAAAAATGGCCTTGTTACATATGGCTATGCTTGGTGCTCTGTGCAGCTTTCAGGGCTCAAGTTAAGGTTGGCTCTCCAGTGGTTCGTTTCCCCACCCATTTATCTGCCTGTGAGTACAGCTTGCAAGAGATAAGCTGTGCAGTTTCAGATTGGTTTCACTCTGTATGCTATCTTCTAGTATATTTGTGCAGAGAGCTGTCTGTCTTTCCAGATCTACATGTTTTCCCTCATTTTGGCATGCTCTTTTGCAGTACTCTTGCAATTGAGCAGGCAGTGTTACACATGGAAAGCCTTTAGGGGGAGTAGAGTTAGCTCAGCTTCTCCTCCTGTCCTCTCTCCTCTAAAAACGAGTGCCCAGACATTGAA